TCGTTCGCCGTCGTCCCGGCAACGGGCTGACGAGGCAGTCGACCGGCGCGGGACCCCGGCGAGGCTCTGCAGGCTGCTGCTGTGTAATGTGCGGTGGCTCACGTGTCTACAACACGCGACAAGGATGAAGACCCCCCCCCCGACGCCCCACGTGTAGCCTTGACAGACTGCAGGGGCAAGTGTTGTTAGCGAGCAGCACCTATGAAGGCCGGCACGGCACACGAGGGGGTGGGTGGCCAACACCACGCCCGGCAGCCTTTGTCTCGCCAGTGACGATGTTTACGCACCGCACCAGGTACTCATTTGCGGCTGAGTCGACCTAGGGGAGGCCCAGGAATGGTTTGAATAATCGCGGCCGATGTTGACCGCGGCTGAGACGTGAATTGGCGCGGACGGGATTCGGAGGGGAGTGCACCAACCGCTGTGCTCCCAAAGACCCCGACGTACACACGCGCACACACACGCACACACACACACGCACACACTCACACATACACGCACACACACACGCACACACACGCACACACACACTCACACATACACGCGCACACACGCACACACACACGCGCACACACGCGCACGCACACAGACGCACGCACACACGCACACACACGCGCACACACACGCACACACACGCACACACACGCACGCACACGCACGCAGACACGGTCACACACACGCACACACACGCAGGCTCGCACGCACACACACGCTCACACTCAATACACAAACACACTATGTGATGGGGCGCATGCTTGAGCACACAAGCACCCAAATTCACATCCTCACGGGCACCACCGCGTTCGTGTTTGCCTTTGGCGCTGCACAGGCTCCCCAGTGTATTACTTGGGGGGCTGAAACAGCGTTGCTGTTCGGCATTCCGTCGGGCGTTTCCATTCCTGAAGAAGCACCCAGGATGTGTAGTGAAACGTCGGACATCGTGCCGAGCAATATGCAGCGTTACCCGTAACTTGCCAAGGCTGGCCCAACATTGGCATGCAGTCGAAACCGTCGCACCAACGTTGCTCCAACGTTCGACGTTTACTGTGGCGGAGAGTTCTGCAGACACGGATGCAAGCACGCGCACGCTTCAACATGTGCATGCACACACATACACACACATGTCAGCACGTTCATGCAAATATTGCGTACAGAGGCAAACACACACTCGCATGCACTTACGCATAAATACATACATGTTACGCACGCAGATACAGCACACACACACACTGCCTTAAATACACCCACGTGAACACACACACACACGTAAACACACTGAACACGTATTCTTGGGCCAACGGTTCCAACCACATGCCAACGTTTTCCCAACGTTGGCATGTTTACTGGGAATATATGAACACGAGCGCATGCAGAGACAAAGGTCCCCAATATAGCCTGAACAGACTGTTGGGACAAGTGCTGTTAGCGAGCACCTATGAAGGCCGGCAAGGCACACGAGGGGGTGGGTGGCTAGCACCACGCCCGGCCGCCTTTGTCTCCCCAGTGGCGACGTTTACACATCGCACCAGTTACTCATTTGAGGCTGAGTCGACCTAGGGGACGCCCAGGGACTGCTTTAGATAATCCTCACCGGTGTTGGCCGTGAGCGGGAATCGAACTCGGGTCGCCGGGTTCGTAGCGCAGCGTAGCGCTAATTGCTGCCCAGGGACATGCAAGCCTACACCACCTCTCACCAAGTGATGGTCCGTTTATTTTTATTCCATTCTTAGGGAATAGAGTATACAACATTGGAGATCACCATTGTGCGCATTACATCAAGGGCAGTTCAGAGTTTTCATTTTGTATTATTATTATTGATATACAATATGTGGGGGTGTAACAAATGGCATGCAATTACAACCACAGCTTTGTATTGCTATCGTATCTCAAGGCCATTGGATCTCAAGGCAGTGTGGTACGTTGCTGAATGAAGACCTCGCCACGCCGTGTCGGTAATGGGGCGTTGTGTTTGACCATACTTCACCACGCCTGTCAGTGCAGGTTATTGAAGGGGCGGGCGCAAGACCGCTTCAGATTATTACGAGCAACTGACGTTAGCCGTGAATCAAACTCACTCAACCCCTGTGCAGAATGTGCATTTGCACGCCGCTGCTGGATGAGTACCATGGGAGGGGGCAGGTTTTTGACCACAATGCACCACGCCTGTCAGCGCTGGTTGGTGCTGGCGGACAGCACGGACGCAGAAGTACAGTGCAACAATGCATGTATCTGCACTACTGCATACCGCGTAGCTCCGCAAACCCTACGACAATCCTGTATGTGCATGGTGCTCACCAATGAAAACACTCGTCCAGGCTCAGCCCGGTGAAGTTGATGGGATCGGGTGCATTCCAGGTGATTTGGTGGCAAAGCGTGTCCTGAAATAGCAGCTGTAAAATTGTGGAACAGCACACAACTTCCAGACGTCTTGCCAATTGGACAATCGCGGACACGCTGTCCCACGTACATTCTCACCACGGAGCCAATCCATGTTGGGGAGGAGGTCGATGGTTTCATTCCTTGGGCCACGCGGTGATTTCTCTTTGATTTACGGCGCGGCATCATCTGCTGTAAATGGCCGTAAGAAAAAGTGACACCATTGATCGTCAAGAGGTCGCTGCATTCCGGGCGTAACAGCCTGAAAACTGCACTTTTGGGACATACAATTGCAGTCTTTTTTTTATTGTAACGACCGCTCTGTAATTACAGGTTTTTTTTGGCAAGTTCTTGTCTCTGCGCAGCAGATGGGGGCTCCTTCCACGTGATATCCAAAGCGATGAGGTTGTGAGATCAGACTACGGGTTGATCTTGATTACATTATTGTCACGTGGACGCTACCGTGGTGCTAACGGAACGGTTAGCACCACGGGACTTGCCACCAGAGGCCGCCGGTTCGATTCTAACTCCCGGCGCGGCAGCTGAAACAATGGAGCGAGTCTTACATTTTAGTAATTGCTGCCAACTTTAATCTTTCCTTAAATATACTAAAGCAGTCTACATTATTATTGTACTTTCTTTTTATCCGAAGGCCTCGCCCATTAACCACAACAGACGCTTCTCCCTAATCGCCACAACTTTCAGACTGGTCCTATTAAAATGTGTAAATTTCCTAAATTGCTCTAAAGTGCCATTCAATAGCATTCTCTTTTACCGTGGTTCCCCAAATAAACTTGAACAATTTTGTTTGCCATCCCAGACATCCAGACGGCAATCAATAACAATGTTTCTGGACAGTGACAGCCTAGCAAGGTCGCTCATGCCTGAGCCGCTTGCCAGGCAGGCTGCAATGTCATATTATATATCAGTGTTCAGAGAATTGTAGCATTTGTTTATTGAGTTTAGACACATTTTTACGTGGGCACAACGTTCACTTTGAGGTTGAGGATTTCAAGCAATCGATAGAATTGTGAAATTGTAACGATGGCGAGAGCCAAACGCCATTTTAAATCCAATGCGTTCGGCCAAGAATCAGCGTCTCATTGTTGGGGCACTTTTCGAGATGAATTTGAATCTGGTGGGACGAGACTGCAGAATGTCGCACTTTGTCTTCCGCTTGCCGGATAATCTATAAACAGGCCCTCAATTTAATTTCCCAGTCTGCAAGCTAATAAACGAGACTTAAAATGCCATTATCCATCTTAGCCTTTGTCTTGTCAATTAAATTAACTTCACACAGTAATGGCAGCATTGATTTGTTTTACGTATTATTCTCAATTAAAGTTCGGTTTAATCTGAGCACCGGATGCTTGCTTTGTGGGTTACATCAGCCAGCAGTGATCGCCGGCTCGATCTCCCGGCGTGGCAGTCGACACAACGGGGCACGTTTCTTAAATCTCTCCCACCCCCTATGCCTACCTCTGTCCAAATCTCAAATTTCTCCCCGCCTGCAACAACGGTTAGTCGATCGCCACCGCCTGTAGTACGTTCGGTGAACGCACCTTCTTCCGAGATGTCTGGCCAGCGTGGAGGTGAAGGCCAGGTACCCACGAGAAGAGGGCCCCTCTAGAGCCCTCTGCAGCGAAGGCCCCTCCACCAGCAGTTGTGCGAGCAAGCGGTTCATTGGCCACGACGCTTTACGTGTCATGTTTTTGTAGCCGTTGACTACCAAGATACCTACCATTAGCTAAACATGAGGTAGGAACCCGGCTTATTCTCGTCCTGCGTGCGCGTCTGCGTGTGATATTAACGTGGATGTGAGCGGCGTCAGCTCGGCAGCTCTTGATGTGTCTCTGTGATTGTCCTGCGCCAAGCAGCCTCTCACTCAGGGTGTGGTTGACGCTAAGCGGGACTGTCAGCTTCTGATTTTTAGTAAAATTGCACTGGGCATTGCCATTTGCCAAGAGGCCACACATGTGGCTGTAGAGCCACCATGCCCCCCTCCCTGCTACAGGCTCAGCATCTGCGAGTCGTCGGTGTGTGAAATTGATTATAAATATAGAGGAATACCATTTCCAATGAAATGCGAGTGTTCACTTAGTAAAATTAAAATTGTGTTTCATCTTTCTCCTCGGGAATGAGACAATTATCTTAATTTGAATCTTCTTAACGTAACGAGCCTTGGAACTCTGGGAAAACCCGTGACGGATTCAAGCGTGCAGAATGCGACACGAGGGATGGAACGCGTCCACCCAGTGGTCGACGTTGCAGGTGCGAGGCGGATGCTTGCACGAGGATGGTGGCGGTGGCCTGGGAGGGCCTTCTCCAGCAGTCGATTGAGCATGGATGAGGGTGAACACTTAGACGTTGTACTCATCAAGAGCATTTACAAAAAGGACAGCGTGACTAATGATAATATTAAAATTTAAATAAATACAAATTCAAACCCACGACGTTTTGTCGTGGGGTTTAGTTTTCATTTTTATTTTTCTATCTACGTGACTTTACCGAATGAACCAAGAATATGAAAATGGGATGGTATGCCTTACAATTCATCAATAGCTTGCTCACTGTGAACAAGTCGGATGACCGTAGGCTACATTGTGTGTGTTTTCTCGCCACAGTTTTGAAGCTGCTTAAAGACTCTTTCAACCCCAACGCAAAAAACTTGAATGGAAACTCCCTGCTTCACACGGTGAGTTCGCGATGGTTGTTACCGACCGTGAGATCAGTGACAATGATCTGAACCGGTTTTGTGCTTCCCTTAGGTCGACTCAGCTTTAAACGAGTACCTTTGTGCAGTGTGTGAACATCAGCACTAGAAGGCGCCGGGCATGGTACCTGGCAAACCACCACCTAGTGTGTCATTGCGGCCTTAATAGGTGCCCGCCAACAGCACTTGCCCCAACAATCTGTTAAGACTACACGACGAATCTTAGTCATTGCTTCATATTGATATTTGAAATATCTTAACTTGAATGCGGTCTTGTCTATAAAACATGGGACGCAAATATACACAAACGTAGACGTAAATGAGCGGTCATCGGCCGTGTGTGCGGGTGCACAATTACTTTATTTGCACGTGAACGGACAAGGGAAAGGTGGCACCGTGGCGGGATTGGAGGAATCGATTTTGCGCGAAATGTCCGGGCATCATTGTAAGCCGCCCAATCATCCAACACAGAGGCCCGTGTCATCAACGTGGGAGTGGAACGGGGTGATCATGCTGCCCCAATCAAACTACAATTACAGGCGGCCGCCACTGAACAGAACGTTTTAAATCCGACCCGATAACCGTGATGACACTACCGGCCTGATGACGGCGGCCAGGTAGGACGTTGTGAGCCCTGGGCTTTAGTGAATCGTGGCAACCCACTGACAATAGCTATCTCGTGGTCTCCAATATGCGGGCCGTAATTGTTGAGAAAGATGATATTGGCTGTTGATGATAATGACAATGAGTTAATCACTACACATTATGAGGCTCAATTTGATCTTAATTTCCTCCGTAGTGTCAGGGTCAAGTGTAATGGATAGAAATGTAATAGGGAGGTGATGAAGAATAACACGTGCCGAAAGGCTAATAACTGCGCTGTTATTATTTTCTAATTTCCACTGATCAAATCACGTGGATTGTAATGCCAATGCATTGTCATTCCTCTGGTCGCCGAGATAAGAGTTACCGCGTGGCATTTCATTGACATTCGCGCGATTCTATATAAAGGATTGTTCAATAATGGCTCTTTGCAGAATGTACGTTGCTGTGTGTAATAATGCATGAAAGCGCCCCAGATTGGACGACTCCTTGTGCGGGGCTGTTCCAGTGTAGGTATAAGCCTCGTACGAGTGCAATATACATGGAGATTTCAAAATGAAGTACACGTTTTTGAGTGTGGGTGGAGAGACTGGTGAAACACCGATGAGATGGTTCTGCTCAAAAAAGGGGAGAGTCGTGAGTGCAGAGAGTACAAATAATATACATTCATTCATGACAACGTTTTTTTTTTGGTGTTTGATTGCATAAATGCAAATGTGTCGTAACCACACCTCCACCCGGTACACGTGAACGAAACGGTGTGTTGGAGCGCTAATCCACAGCATTTACAATTTGAGCATGACGCTTCGCTGTTGCTCATAACCAGCATTATGTGGCGACTGGCAGAATTGTGGATGAAGACTTTTCCACGATTTTTCACAATTATGGCAATAACCTGATCATATTCGCTGAGAATGCGATGAATTTGCCACGCGGCTCCTCTTATCCCTGACAAAAATTGCGAGCATTAAGAGGACCACTTTGCTACATTCACTCTGGGCGAATAACCACAGATAAGGGAAAGAAATAGGGCCGCGGATTACAGTAGATTTCGTTAACCCGACAGCTACCGTAGATAGGATTAGTGAGTAATAGGGCCACGGAGAGTATGATTAGCGGGTAATAGGGCCACGGATGAGAGGGGTTCTCCTATAGGGACCGTACCGGCGAACGCTCGGTCGTGCAGGAAAACACTTTGACTTTTGCTTCGAAAGAGGAAATAAAATCTGAGAGTAAGACGACGTCATGTTGAATTTACACGTGTGTAATATAATTTGGTAAGCGTGCGTCACGTCGCTTGAAATGCAATGTGGATGAATGGCTCTGATGAAAGTGTACAACACGAGGCAGAGTGGAAGCAAGAGAGATCGTTATGATGGAGACGGATTAAAAAGACAACGCGAACTAGACGGCTCGTGCGGACAGTGGCGAGGCAACGGATGCCCTCTGCGCGGAGAAATCTGGGAAGGGAACGGGCAGTGTGTGTGCCAGACACAACTGGGCATGTGGAATGAATGCAAGCACACTCGAATTGCCCCTGTCAGAATGATATTAATATCATGCCAATTTGATACAAATGCTACTACTTTTAGGCTGACGAGTGAGATAGACAATACAGAGACAAAAAATGTACTTCGTTTGGTAGAAAGAATTATGCTAGTCGCTCTCAAGGGTTATGGAGTGGCAGCTAACCAATGGAATGCCTCAAAGTAGAGATGGAGCGATGGAATCAGCACACACGTGCAAGTACCAGGTGCATTATTACATCGCATGAGCTTGACAGATTGTGATGACTGTAGGCCTTCATTCAGCGGTAGATTGATCATGGCTGATGATGATGATGATGGGTACAATTTCTATTCACTGGCTCTATTCATCTGTGCAGAGATTTGCCCATAGCAGGAAGCTGTAGCAGGAAGCTAAGGTTCCTGCTACAGAGCCCCTTCAAATAGTGGAGGATATGGGTTTTAATAATTCATACAAACCAATTTATTTCCGCACACATTGGCATGTAAATATTTCATAATCACCACCTCAACATTTTTAACCTCTGAGCAGTGGCAGTGGCATGTTGGGATTAAATATGTATTACCCAGCATGCATTGCCTCAACTTTCACGATAAAACTGTCCCCTACACTCAAAACATTGGCAGCCCGCGACAGGCATGGGAATTCCACATTTCTATGCCAGTCTACGCGAAGGTTGACCACGCTTTGAAAGGCTTTGAAACAAATGACATTGAGTAGAAATCGGTCACTAGCCTTACAGTGTGGGCTCTCAGGACCCCTCACCACCAAAGAGCTTGTGAAACAGCACGTACAGGACTCTCACTCACTAAGATCATGAGTCATAATTGATTTGTGGGTCAGATCGCGTGAATTAATGTGTCGTGCACCCTCCTCCACCCGACACAGACAATTGATAAAGTTGAGACTTGAACAAACGTGCCGATGTATTACTGATTCAGCAACACAGGTGTGGTGTTGGAGAACAATCCACATTTCACAATTGTGTGCAGTTGTACCCAGTTTGGTTCAGTTGTACTCCATTGTTAAATGTTGTGTCTCCATGTTCCTGTATACCCCTGACAAAAGTCTCCCTCTATCCTGGTGTCTCCATGTTCCCCCATGTCTCTGTATCTCCGTATCCTCATGTCCCTGTATCCCCATGTCTCCATGTCCCCCCGCGTCTCTGTATATCCGTGTCCCTGTGTCCCCGTGTCCCCATGCCCCCGTGTCCCCGTGCCCCCGTGTCCCCATGCCCCGTGTCCCCGTGTCCCCGTGTCCCCAGAGTGCGCGCAGTAACAACGTGTTGGCGGCAGAGCTGCTGCTGGAGCGCGGGGCGGACGTGAACGCGCAGGACGACGACTCGTGGACGCCGCTGCACGCCGCCGCCGCGTGCGACCACGCGGACGTGCTGCTCCTCCTCCTTCTGGTAGGGCACCTCCGTTCGTTCGTTCGTTTTAAGCCCCCGACCACCATCGTCACCCTCAGTGGAAACCAGAATATCGGGCGTGCTGGTTCGGTTCATCCAGAGCCACGTGGCCATCTCCGGATTTCTATTTCAAATCATAACTCTGACGACGACGATGATGATGATGCTGATGACATTTGGTGAAATGCATGGCTTTAAATTGCACCAAGAAACTTGGAGAGGGGAAAAGTTGTAATGAAGTTGGGGGACAGAAAGGAGAGCACGTTCATTAAGAGAAATACGCAAGTTGATGATATCATTCGTCCTATTGAAGGAGTGCTGGTGATGGTTAATAATAATAACGAACTGGCAAACAAAGAAAGGTACGCGAGTGGATGTCCACTGGGAAAATGGACCGAATAAATCAACGTTTCTATAGGTGCTACGTGGATTGTTGCATTACGGAATCATGAAGGATGGCAGTGGCTTTGGGAACGCTTTATCCAAAAGAGGGTTGATCATGTCTGATGATGATGACGATGGTACATGCTCCACCACCACAGCTCACAATGACTTGTATGCACGTTTATTAGTTCAGTAGTTCTATCAGAGAATGCTCTTCCATGTTTGCTCATGAACAAGGTGTTTCACCAGATGAGAACTAAAGGAATCAGCATGAGTCTCATTCACAGGAGTGACCTGGGGTATGCGTCATGCCAGTATGGGGGCGATGATTTCTGCCTGTGTATAATCCCGATTGAGTCATTTGCGAGCCATTTTAGAACTTGGCAATTTTGGGCCCTGACACCGCCACACAATGGCCTTCTTTTACGAATAACATCAGAGGATATTTAACGTCCACTGTGAAGCAGAGGGCAGCGCATGATGATTATATCACCTGCAGTTATTGACCAGCGCGACCGCTGGAGTTCGAATCATGAACCTCTGCAACAAGTGGCGAACTCGCTGCCGCGGGGCCACGTCGCCGCACTACCATCACCGCAGATTTTAATCTCTCAACAAACTCGTCGTGAACATACACAGAGAGAGAGATAGAGAGAGGGGCCTTTGGAGGGTCTTCGGGATGTGCAAGTAGGCAGATGAGCCGATTGCAGAATCGTGCGAGAGACGACAGCACGGCGAGGCCTTCATCCCACAGTCGATTGACGGTGGTTGCTGCCGCTGACAACGACGAGCGCATTGCCGTGAATGTCTCCGTCGGTGCGGGCCACGTGCAGCGACTGGCCCGTGCGCTGCGGTAACGCCGTCCGTACGCGGGCACTCTTCCCCCCCCTCCTCTCGTGCCGCTGCCCGCAGGCCGGAGCCAACGTGCTCCTGCAGGACGTGGACGGGAATGTCGCACTGGACTACACGCACGAGGGCACCCAGTGCCGCCACCTGCTGCTGCGGCACCTGGAGGAGAACGGTGGGCTCCGCAGGCGACCCACCCACCCACCCGCTACTTACCTCCGCGTCGCTCGGCGCGATTCGAGGACGTGTTGTTGTTGTTGTTGCTTGACCCTCTGTGTCGTCGTCGTCATCATCGTCGCGAACTATATGCGATAATCGCTATAGATCCGTCGTTTTAGTCATGCATTCATTATCGTGTCTCTTGTATCAGCACTACTGTTGCAAACTATGGTTTGACAGTTGTGATATCACAAGTCTAATTTACACTTTGTGTAATTTTAACAACTATAGCTGTGTTTCTCATTTCGATATGATTTTGTCTTATTCGATTTCGCGTACAATTGCGTTTATGTATGCCTGTTTATAATGTAACTTCCTCTGCAATTTTCCACCATCGCCAGCATAGCCTGCCTCTTCATAGTGCATCGGGTTCTTTCAGCTTCAAATGTCTATGCTCTCATCACCAGCCATCATTGCGAGTCTATTGGTCGCTACGATGCACCGAAGTAAATTGAACTTCTTTCGCACCGTGCGCAGAAAACCGTGCTAATCGGTGGTGCTGCGGGGGGGGGAGAGGTTAACAAGCTAAACACAAAAAGTAGATCTACAGAAATTGCTTGTCAGCCTAATGGAAAGGACTGGCCTCCTCGGTGTGGAAATGTGGAATTCCTACCACTGTGGTGAGAGGCCTCGAAGAAAGGCGAGCGACGCGGTGTTGCTCGCTTGAGCGGGGAGACGGCCTGGACCGTGACCCCATCGCGATGGACGTACTGACGAGCGAATTCGCGGAGTTTAATTTCCGAGCGCTTTAATAAACCATGCAATGCGCGCGTGCATCGTTTCGTTTTAATGCAGATTAATGTACATCGGGACCATTCGCGAGCAGCATTAGATTTTAATGTACATAAACATGCCAAACACAAACAGCGTAGCCTGCAGTGCATCATTTGTCCATGGAGGTGCCCCCCCTCGCCCCCCCCCCCCCCCATAACAGCAGCTCCCCCACAACACTCCCCCAGCGCTCGAGAGCCAAACATTGCCTCTTTGTTTGATAGGGCATTCCGCTGGAAGGGAAAACAAACAGCTCTCCCTTTGGTCCTTTTTATTTTCATGGAAACCAACATTGGTATTCCTGGGAGTACTTGGGAAGCAGTGCGAGAGAGTGTGTGTGTGCTAGAGGAGGGCCAGTGGTGATGGTTAGCACACTGCACTCCGACACACAGCGAGCTTTACACCCGGCCACCATCGGGCGACGATTATCTGAACCGGTCAAAGGCCTCCCCCCTAGGTCGACTCAGCCTTAAGTGAGTACTATACCTGGCCTGGTGTGTAAACTCCATCGAGCTACACCGCCCCTCGTGTGCCGCTCCGGCCTTCATCGGTGCTCACTCACAGCACTTCCCCTAAAAATCTATAAAGGCTTTATGAAGGAACTTTCTATTAATGCTTTTGTTTACACAGTAACACGTGTACATTGTTAGCACGAATAAAAAACCCACTCGCCACATGAATTCTCATATTATCATCGCTCTATCATGGACAAAAATATATATAAGAATATGTTGGGCAATTGCCCGTCTAAAGGGCAGCGCACGTAAGTGCATATTATAGTGTTGTGTGTGAGCGAGTGAGTGAGATAGTGAGCGAGTATTCCATCAGAGTAGCCAGCCATTGTCCAGCATGTCGGCCCACTATATTGTTCTGTTGTAAAGCAGTGTTAATGATGCACGCAGGCACGTTTGTGTGAGTGCTTTCTGAGCTGTGCCCAGGGATTCATTTCAGCCGGGTTCTGTGCGGGTCAGCGACCTGTAAAATATATTTGCACCCAACACACCACATCCAGTATAATGTACCTGTGGCTATTGCAGTGGCCACTATTTTCATGCCAGCCACTCCGGTCTACCAGCGACCGGGAAAATATTCAGTGAGTAATTAATCCCTGGCCGTGCCTTCTGCACCCACTGCCAACAGCAGGCCCCGTAATTTATTTCCGTCTCTTTGTGAGCAGCGCAGCCACTGAATTATTTCCCCGAGCAAAGATTTACATTCTGGAAATTTACAAAGGTTAATGGGTTTCAGTATGTGCGTGGCAGTTAATAGAGTTCATATCAATGACTGCACGGCATGTCACTGTAAGCAATAAACCCTCCGCACATTTACGCTTTTTCTTTACATCGGTGGGGAGGTCCTTGCGTGGAGACCAAACTGCCACTCCCCTTCGGAGCAAAGTCGTCTCTGTCTGACCGCTCCGGTGGAGATTTAGGGTTATTTGTTACCATTCCCGAGGGGTTGTGGCCTCAAAATCTAGGGTTGCCCTCACACCTGCTCCCCCATAAATGGAATTCTCTGGAAATGGCCCCTCTTCCGTACAATGCCATTTAAAGGCTTCTCTTCATAGATTAGCACCGAGTGTTGTTCGGCACGATGTCGAATGTTCCGCTCCACGCGCTGGGAGCTTCTTGAGGAACTGAATTCCTCAAGGAACTGAGCTCCCGAAAAAACTGCTAGGTACCTGGAGCTGAACGCATGGCTGTCAACCCATACGGTTAACCCGTATTCTTGTCCAGGGAAATTGAGTTTTCAGGTCCATACGGCGTACATCCGTTTCAATACGGGAAAATGTCTATTTGGTTGTGTTTCTCCCTTGTGATGGGACTTTGTAGGATGAACGTTGAGATTTATAAGGGCACGGGGTGACCAATACGGTCTGAATTGGTCTGTAGTAAGGTAGGCACTGATAAGGGGTTGACAGGAATGTAAACGTCGGACATCGTTTCTGAACAGCATGCTGTTACGACCCGAAAACACAACTCAATAACCAGACAATGCAACCCACGTGAAACTACGAGGTAGCAGCAGCATCACTTCATTCATTGTTTATCTCAGCTTGTTAATATTTCATATGGGGAAATTAAGAATTTCCCATTAGAGTCCGGTCAATATTTTAAGTGTAAATGTTTAATATTTTGCATGATTAAGCGAGCAGTGATGGTGGGTTTTTCCCCACCCACGCTCTCGCTGCTGCTCAAAGAAGAATAGTGCAGCAAGGATCTGACCTGTCCGCTGACCCACCGGGGGCGGCGGTTCACAACCGTAAAGGGCACCGATCACAACAAATATTGATGAACTTATTGGCTTAAATGACTGCCAGTCTGCGATTCTCTCCTCGTGCCCGTTGTAATGCTGCCAACTCCACACCCCCCAAAGTTTCTGTTCAGATCAGGGCCCAAGACTGTCTGTCGTCTAGTCTTCTACATGTGACTGGCCTGTCTAAAATGAAACATTTATATTATGTATGTTGAACTTCTTTCGCACGTATGTAGCCAACCGTGCTAATCGGAGATGCAATTATTGTTCCGCTTGTTTAACCAAAGAATATAGCTCCTATGTTCCATAGTTTAACTTTAATTGTGCAATGTCCTAACTTTGTTGTGTTATTTGTTTTGAATTTAATTATCGGGCTCTCATCTCCTAGGTCATGCAGAGGTCTTGGGGGCCTTCGGGCCTAATTAAAAATTAGGCTTCATAAGTAAGAATTAGTAAAATCTAAACTTCTACTCTGAGTAAGAAATGAATACACAATAACATGAAGGAATAGTTTAATTAATTACATAAACAACGTATTAACCATTCATAATACTATAACATATCACAAATTCAGGTAGACAGAGTAACAGACAAACTCACACTTGCTCAATTATAGTATTTCTGATGATGATTGCGATCACCATCGTTACGATGACTGTTAATGCCTTGCGATACGTTTGTCTTCGTGAAATTACAATGCTTAATTATTAACGCAGTGCAGAATTACATTTCATACTGTCGTCTATGGACCGCATTCTTATTTCATATTCCTCGTGCGTAAACCAATTCCTATGCACTGGGTTCACAGTTTCATTCTTTCTGTTTTTTTTATTGTGCGACAGCTTTGCAAATGCATTCCGGGGGAGCAATGCCTTCTCATCGTCGCTGCTCCCATGTCACTCAGCTCACGGCTCGGAACAATCGCCGAATGGGGGAAACTCGCCCCGATGTCGGAGTCGATTCGTACCCCGCATAGCGAACCGATCCCTCTCACTGGCGAATCGCTCTCTTCTTCTCGCATGTCATACTCTCTCTCTCTCTCTGCATTCTTACTCCCGGGGGAACGGTGGCCGGCGATTTAATTACAAACACCGACCCGCGCTGCCGTGGAGAGCGAGAGCGAGAGATGTGGTGGAGCCCGCACTGATTGTGGCTTGTGGTCCAGAACGTCGCTGTCCAAGCCAAAGGCTTTTTCTCTGTAAAATAAACTCGTTCATCCGCGCGATCTGCATTAAAAAAATGCACGCCCGGTCATCAATCAACATCCGACAGTGTAACATTTTCTTTCCCACTGAAGGGGGCTCGTGGTGGGGGGCTGGGGGCTATATTTATTTTTTATTCTTCACCCCCCAGGGCTGACGCTCCCGAGGTGCTGACTCGGCTCAGCACCCTGACATTAACCTCCTTAGCCAGCCCATGTCGCTCCTGTGCCCCCACTGCTTGATGGGACAACAGCAGGGGTCTCAATCAAGGATGCACAACGCTGTAGGGCTGGTGACTGTTTACTTTAAATTCATTTGCGTCTCCCTTCTCCTCCGCACCCGGCTCAGGAGTGGACGTGGGAGCCCTCAGGCAGCTCAGGAATCAGAGGCCCCTGTCCATGCTGGCTGACGTCACAAAGCTCGTCGCCTCGGGCAGCTGTGTCAACCTCCCCAACGAAGAGGGGGTCACGCTGGTGAGTGACGCTTCCTCCGCCCACACGGACACGAGGCCTCTCTCCACACGCACACACACCAGCACACGCCATACAAACACACCAGCAACACCTACACAAGACAAAGATCCCCCGTATAGTATTTTGCAAGGGATACGCGGATTATAAAGCAAATGCTATATTTACTACTGTATATATGTATAAAGGCAAAGATCCCCCGTATAGCTTTAAAAGACTGTTCGGGCAAGTGCTGTTAGCGAGCACCTGTGAAGGGCGACGTGGCGCATGAGGGGGTGGGTGGCCAACACCACGCCCGGCCGCCTTTGTCTTTCTCGTGGCGACGTTTACACACCGCTCTAGGTAATAATTTGAGGCTGAGTCGACCTAGGGGAGGCCCAGGACCGGTTCATATAATGGTTACTGGTGTTGGTGGCCGTGAGCTGGAATCGAACTCAGGTCATCTGGATCGTAGCGCAGGGGACGAACCACTACGCCACCGCTCCTCTACCAGCACTCTCCATACGTACACGGTCCCCATACACACACCAACACTCTCCGCACACACACACACACACATCGGGGTCTCTGTAAAGGTCAGCACTGCCTTGCTCACCAGATTAAAAATTTCGTCTGGGTTTTGACGTGTCGCTCGTGTCGTTTCCTGTCTCCCGTCTCCTCCGCACCGGTCTGTTCTCGTTTGCATACGATCTGCACACATTATAAATGATCGATTATTACGCACGCAGCCACAATCCAATGCGTGCAACCGTAACATTCTGTTTAAATTGATGGATCGACGTGTCGTTAAGATGCTTAAACTGCGTAGAGCCTCTCTTCTTCTCCGCGAATCCCCCTGCCAATACCACACACACACACGTGTCAAGTCTGCACACACGTGTTTACATGTGGCCATTTCTCCTGCCCACATGCCCTCCCCCCACCCCCGCAAACGCCCATTATCTCTCTGTACACTTCCTACACCACTGCCGCAAACAGCCTTTGTCGGCAACATACCAGAACGCCCGTAGGGGAATATGTGTACACAGCAAATTTCACACTCGCAACAGCTGCGATTGTGATGTTTACACGCAAACACACCCAGGCCCTGCGCGTTCTCCTGGATGTGTTTGTGCTTGGACCGTCACCTTGATGGGGATTCACCTGCGCTGGCTGATCGCTTCCCATCGCGTTCACGCCCCCTCTGTCACTGCTGGTCGTGTCGTAGTCGTGGCCAGGGGCTTTTACGTTCCAATTCCTCGCGACCATGCTGTTCTCTTGCTGCAATGTACTTGGTGCAATTGGCACTTTTTGCTCATGTGCCAAATTCGTTTGAGTGGCTAAGTGGGTAGCGGAGGGTTATAGCGTAAAAAAACGACGTTTACATACCTACACGATCGAATCAAAATTAAACGAATTGTAAAATCGGATTGGTCGTGACAGGCTACATATAAAATGAACGAGTGCACACAAGATTATTTACTCGTAATACTAATGTACATATACGCTTTACTGTTAACTTTAAGTCGATCGGCTCATAACCTCCTGTTGACGGATATCGGTTGGTGGTGGAGGTGGGGGGGGGTCGCCATCATACGCCCTGAAAATCTGTCAAATCGTGGGGAGACGTACCTCCCCTGCCCTCCCCCGTAGCACCGTCCGTGCGCCGTGACGTTAACGGCGAGAATAGATTTCCCAACCATTCACATTCCCTTCCATCTGCTGGCAAGATTCGATGAGTTTGGAGTGAAAGCTCAGATCGCGTTTGGATTCGCACTGCCAACTTCGCGATGCAAGCGTACATACATCGTCGCCCACTCTGTGGCCTAATTACGTTGGAACTATTTTTTGTGAAATCGATACGCCCCTCTGAGCCTTAGATAATGCGATTACTGGCAGTAGAGGGTGACACGCGTGCCCATGTAATTATGGAATGATTAATACATGATGACTAACATAACAGCAGCGATGTCGGTCTCAAGGTGGGAGGGGGAAGGGAGCACGGGCTCATCATGACCAGCCTGCCAATTCTGTCCGACAGGTGTTGGCCAATTCAGGTGTCCGGTGGTTGCCAGTCATTGGGGCCCTGTGCGGTCGGTCCCCGCTCGAAAGCAGAACACCTTAACAACGCTTGCCTGTTCATTATAACGATAAACAAACTGCACACCACCGCCGCCACCTCCGTCTACTCTGTCCCTGCCATGGTTGATGTTCCTGTGAATCTCACTCATTGATTCCTCACCCATGCTGACGACTCAGTCTGCCAGACTGACTCTTTAGTCTCACCCCCACTGGGTGAACCACAACGCAACACTCCTGCTTCTCCCCTCGTGCTGCTCAACAACTCCTATAATGGATTATCTTCCCAAGATCTCACAAGAACTTTGGTTCAATAATTGAAGAAATCATTTCACTCGTGTCTATTACGACTTTAATTGGCGCCGTGTCATTTTGGCCGCTTGCCATTTTGGGACCTTTGGGGCTATGCCTTTCACTCGAGATTAAAATATATATACAGTACGCGAGATATCTCTCACCGCCACAGGCTTCCGTGCCCCACCAATATATCTTTCCTTTGCCAGCGTCTAAAGGCCGAATGTGCAGAGGATGTGCATTCTAGTCACGCACACCTGATTTACCTGACAGGTGCAATTTATAGAGCCTGAGAAGGCGGCTCTTTAAAATAGTCCGTAAATCTGCCCATCTCAGTTGCCGAACAACGGCACGTGACCCAGTAGGTAGCTCTAGATTTGAAGCTTTCGTGACTGCAAGGATTCATACTCTTAGGTTTTAATCGGTAAAGCTACGTAGGTAAAAATAAATGTTAAAATCCAAGTTTGCGAGCTTGGAACTCAGTCCTGGACTTTACGAGAAGCGAGTACGGTGTCTGCAGACCTGATGCCAGGTGTTTGACCTCTTGCACCCTTTGTACCAAGCGTGCTGTTTAATTTGGGGATTGTCGGAATCGGCTGGCAGGGCGGAAGTGGCATCGCAAGCATTACTCTTGGTGTATTTCACCTCATTTAGCCTAAAACTAGGGACACTCTTTAGCGATGAGACACTGAAAGGCCCTTCTTGAAGTCCCTGACACCAATGCTGGGCTTGACCGGCTTGCCACAATCCTTTTGAAAAAAATATTTCTGTCGTTATTTTCTCTTCAAAGTGAGCCAATCTCATTCCCCAAAGTTCAGCACTTGTCCCTTCAAACCAATCCGCTTCAACGCCCCCGTCTGTACAGCGCGACGCTTTGTGCCGACTAAATTATTTTTCATTCAATTTCCAATTTTTCCTTGAAAAAAAATGATACTGTTTAGGAAACATCCATTTTTTTTTTTACACTTCAATCTACCGCTGTTTAAGTAATATATATCAGTATATATATACCAAGCAGAGAGAAACACAGGTTTCCACATTCTAACCATGTTACAGGTATAACACATTGACAATGAATTAGCATTTCAAGCAGTGGCCCATGTTCAGAGATACGACTGCTGTGACAAAGGGGCATTGTACATCACCGTGCCTGCAGTCCCTTCATGTATTACTTTGATTTTTACTGAACGTAAATTTATTGATTGTATCTCTGTTACCTCGAACGTTTCTCTGGGTTCACTGGTTTCCTCACAATCGCAAAAAATAACTCGGCAAAGAAAGTGACCAAGCCCCAAGTGGGATAATTGCGAACATACATTGTGCCTTGCGAAGTGTCAGTGTGGGAAAAGGCCATTGTATTGAGTCTCCTTCTTTGTATGGCTGATGGAGGTGTAGAGCAACAACTATCATTTTACTTTGAGGTGAGGTGATCGAGCCATATCAATGTGTCGCTGTGATGATGGCTCCAGCGTGTTTGTGAATCGGGCTTTGAGGCAACCTTCTACGTTCCATGGTTCTGTTCTTGGTGACCACAATGGCACACCGGACAGTTTTTATCTTTCCATTCTTGCATCAAGTATCCGCATGTTTTGCCATGGTTCGTTTGTGGAAGTGGTTTAGCGTGGCCCATGAGCTCTGTGGAAGATGGAAGCCAGGGATATTCCTTGCCGGGTCTTTCACGAGGTCTTCGTAACTTCTTGTGACCTCCATTTGGCTTTCAACGCATCATCAGGGTCGAAGTGGCATTGCTGAAGGTTAAGGGCCTGGATCCAAAAGGGCTTGCGTGACTTCAAGTGGGGGTGGTGGTGTGGGGCGTTATTGAGATTCCGGTTGGTGAGGAGACGCACGGTTTTCCACGATTCTCTGGACTTCCTGGAGGGTTTGCGGTCTTGCGGCGAATGGATGGCATTGTGTGACAAAGGCCAAGCGAAGAGATTTGTGCCAGTGGTCATAACGGGTCAACTTCAGGGTAGTTGCTTGACGTGACGTTGCGTTTAAAGACGCATCTAGAGGTGGGGTTCACATGTGGCATGGCCGAACATTAAAGTGCCTGAGCCAGCGGTGGAAATTCCACATTGTCATGGAAAGGCACCAGTCACTCCCTAAGAGACTACCGCTGTTGTATTCTCACAAAGTGGTTGCTTATTTAATTGACCGAACAGTTGATGGGCTGAGTAAATTTAATTTATGATCGCAATCGAAGCCAAGTGCTACGCGCAAAGTGTGCCGACACGTGCAATAAAGAGAATGGCATTGGAGGCGTGCGAGTGTTACTTGATGGTCACTCCGCAGTGACACACACACACAGGGGATTCACACGCGTTATTTACAGAGCAGGTAAGACTCTGCTGAGACCGAACGACTCTTTTACGAGAGATACGCAGATTTCAAAGCGAATGCTATAACATATACTCTATATAAGACAAAGATCCCCTATATAGCCTTAACAGACTGTTCTGGCAAGTGCTGTTGACGAACACCTATGAAGGCACACGAGGGGGTGGGTGGCCAGCGCCACTCCCGGTCACGTTTGTCTCCCTTGTGGCGATGTTTACACACCACACCGGGTACTCATTTGAGGCTAAGTCGGGGAGGCCCAGGACCGGCTCAGATAATCGTCACTGGTGTTGGCTGTGAGCAGAAATCGAACGCGGGTTCTTGGGGTTCATAGCGCAGCGTAGCGCTTACCACGACACTTCTAATGTAAATAGACAGGAATGTAACAAAACATGTCAAATCCGGCATCACGCGCAGTGACAGAGTATATTGGAAACGTTAAGTAACAACTACAATTGGTCAATAGAAGGATGAGTTAAACGTTGAGTGAGATTAGACTATGAAATTGGATGTGACTTAATGGTTTAAACATCATTGAATTCTTAGACTACGCTGTTTTGAGTTTGTTTCCTTTCCGCTGTTGTTTACATTCACCAACTCGTGCTCCCCGGCACTGAAAACGAGAATCAGGCCAAAATGCGTCGACATTTAGGAAACTCGGCATTTTCCAACGAGGGGGCCATGGACCACGGTCAAGATGGACCACGGAGTGGAAGCCGAGAGACAGAACGCATCCCAGAGGATGCCAGCTGGATGCTTGGCATCGTAGGATCGTGAGACGAGGTGGGAAGGCCCTCACCCAGCAGTTGATTGACCGAGGCTGTGGTGATGATATTTCGATAATCACCATCATTATCACCGGCCATGATCTTATCCACCAATTTACAAGATACAATTGTTACGTACGCTGCAACTATGCGCCGTTACGTCTCTGGCTATACGGTAATGTGGGGTTTATTATACGCGAACGTCCGTGATGGCATTTTCGTTTTTGATGACGCGCTTTTTAAGTGAATTCACGTGTATCCTGTTTGCTGTGGCTAAGTTGAGCACGTTCCCTTCACCCTGCGCTGGACTCTCACCGCCGTCACTCCCGACGCTCGAGGCCTCGATGGTGGGCTCATTGACCCCTGCAGCAGAGTCAGCGCCTCGCAAACTCTCTCTCTTCTTATTCTCTCTCTCTCTTCCTCCCTCCGTCTCTGTGTCCGCCGCGGAAGCTGCACATCGCGTGCGCCAATGGCTACGTGGACGTGGCGAGCCTGCTGCTGGAGAAGGGCGCCAACGTGAACTGCCTGGACGGGACCTTCTGGACGCCGCTTCACCTGGCGGCCAAGTACGGCCAGGTGGGTGGGTGGGCGGGTTGGTGGGTGGGTGGGCAGGTGGGTGGGTGGGTGGGTGGGCAGGTGAGTGGGCTGGTGGGCAGGTGGGCGGGTTGGTGGGTGGGTGGGTGGGCAGGTGGGTGAGTGGGTGGGCAGGTGGGTGGGTGGGTGGGTGGGCGGGTGGGTGGGCAGGTGAGTGGGTGGGTGGTTGGGTGGGCGGGCGGGCGGCTCGGAGCACAGCGGGCGTGGGCGGCCTCCGCCAACGGGCCTCCGCTATGGCACTCGCGAGGCGCTTTGATGTGATCATTGTTGTTGTTGTTTGTAAACACAAGGCGCAAAAGGCCCAGAATGCCAAGGGTGGGCTAGCAACAAATATAACTCGTCTAGTTTTAACGGATTTTTTTTTTTATCAGAGGTTAAGAGGGCTTCGGAAAATATAAATAATGATAGATTCATAACTCATTTATTGAGAACGGCTTTACGTGTTTAGTTTGTTGTCCTTCCCCCGCACCTCCGATTAGCACGGTTGGCTACGTACGGTGCAAAAGAAGCTCAACGTACGACGACGAGGGCGAATTAAACGAGAGGCACTGCTATTGTAATTCATGAATTGCTCTTTCAAAGGGTCTCAAGGGGGTGTTGGGGCTGTCATTGTTTAGTCGCTTTGAAAGCTCACTCGGAGCACAGTCGCACTGCAAGATGCGGGTTTGTCCTCTCCGTCACCGATGGGCGATTCCCGGCTCGCCAGCAGTGCGACAATGGCATTGCCATTCGTGGCGTTCTTCCTGACTCAACCCGGCTCGATGTAAATTGTCAGCTGCTACAAACTGCAGCCACTCGGTTGATCGACTCTGCGGAATAAGGGAACAAATGAGCACTTCCCGCCAGACATGGCAACATCTGGATACCGACGTTTTGAAGGTGAAGCCGTGAATTTGCGCCCGATTATTTCAGAGCCCACAACCCACCTCCCACCCCCCCAAGCATCCTAGGCCCGGCCACTGTAATCCATCGCGGCCAGCCCCCCCCCCCCCCCCCGTGAACCCATCTGCCTTCCAAGCATTGAAATAAGTTTCGTGAAATTAGCGTCGTCATTATGAAGCCCCCTTTTCCATTGCAACGTTGGTCATGCCCTTCTGTGTCTGTGTTAAGGTGAGTCGTGAAAGCGTGCCTCGATCCTATTGCATTTAAAGAAATGAGCACGTTTTTTTTATTTAGGGGACGTGTGGTTTTGATGCTTAGAGGCTGATGATTAATTATTGAGCGAGGTATGATCCATTGGCTTCCGGCAATGCATCATGTTTTGGAGTGGCCCTTTTGATGAGAGGCGCAATCCTGATGTGATTATCATTATCGCTGTTGGACCCGCGGTCTTCCATTCTATCTCTCAGACGTGCATCGTAAAGCTGCTGCTGAAGCACAGCGCAGACCCTAACGTCATCAACTGCAACGGAGAGAAGCCTTCAGGTGACGACCACACAGACACACAGAGAATCAGAATCTTTATTTAGACTGGAGAAATCCGATTAGCTACAAAGCTCTTTTTTTCACATACAAAAACACGATCGTAGTGCACAGCATAAGAAAGGTAAAGAAATCACTTCAAAATATATAGAAACAAACTAAACAATGTTTATAGTATCATGTAAAGCCCACTGAGCTATTCGCTTCTTTTTCAGAAGCGACCTGGCCGCAGATGATAGATCAACGAAGTGGCTCATCATCGTGTGGAAATGTAAAGCAGTAAAATAATCTAAATCTGAACGCATGTTGACTACGTACGGTGACGAAATAAGTCCAACACATCATTAGACCTCCTTTGCCTTTGATGCCTTTCGGCGTCCTCTAGTCTAGCACCAATTGAGACGAGGCTCAAAAGAAAGCCGTCTCTGGTGTGGACCAATCAGTTTCAAGGACAATGCATATATTATCAGAGTGTGTTTTTTGTTTGCATTTTGACCACAAGTATTGTGATTAATGCACACGTGAATCCTTGTAAAAAGGTTTCAACTTTGTTGCCAGAAAAAAGGGGAAAAACCCTATCATTATTATTATAAGTCCAACACGCATACACGAGATAGAGACCCATACACTTGGGAGGCACACAGAGATCGCGTGGAACAGTCGCAGCCTGGATGCCCAGGTGCCACCGCAGGTACCGCGGGCGACGTGGCCGGCCGAGCGAGGGTCACCCGCCGCTCCCCGACGGTCGCTTTAAAAGCCGCCGGGTGCTCGCGAAGGCGTCCGTCGGTGCTGATCCGGCACTTGCCAGGTGTTGACCCCCGGGGGTGGATGGGGTGTGGGGGGTACGGGCTTGCCGCACGCAGAGGTGTCCGACTCGGACACCATCGAGGAGCTGCTGCTGGAGGCGGAGGCGGAGAGCGGCGAGCGGCAGCGCTACCGCCCGCTGGCGGTCGCCGGAGCCGACACCGCCGGGAGGGCCCCCCCGGACGTCGCCACGGACGACGCCGCGCTGCTCCGCAAGCTGTACGTGGCACGCGCGGCCACTTGGCGTGCAACTGCTCCCCCATCTCCCCTCTCCCCCCCACGTTGCGGTATCCTCACTTGCATTTATTAACCCCCCGCTTTGCCCAAGAAGGGCTCACAAGCGATGTCATCACATCTACGCCTCTATCTAAGGAACCAAACAGGAGGACTTCTCCACAAATCTGGCTGTCACCTGATGAAGCTGGTTGTAATTACTGGTGAAACGTCGTACTCAGATTGTAAATGTTGTGGCTTGGCTCTCCAACACACCGGTGTGCTGTAGTAGTGACGAATTGGCATGTTCTGTTTACGTGACAACCCTTACTAATTGGCTGTGTCGAGTGGTGGTGGGTTTAACGACACATTTATATATTTAGGCGATCTTACCCAAAAGAAACCTCTTATGGATGATTTTAGTTGCCAAAGCCTGCGTGTTAAAATATCCTAACTAGCTGGTAACTGCATGCGTGACGATATTTGTTTGTGTTCGCTGGTTACTCTTGGAAACCACATTGTTTATGACCAATGTGTTTATAAAGGTATTTTATATCGCTCTACGTTACCATATAGATTTCAATGTTATCAGAGTTATTTTATTTTTGTTAGATTCATACATTATTAAATTATTCACCGATGAATCTCACGTATGATATAACTTCACACATTTATCAACCACCTTTCGCACCTCCGACCGCTTGTGTTGCGATCGAAACGTCGTGATTCGTTATAACATTGTTATAACATTGTTACAACGCCATCGATTTGATTGAAACGCGTTCCTCCAAAATTCATTCCACTTTTAACTTGCGCACCAACAGGAGTTGAACGTCGCTTTCCCCTGCCAACAGCCACGACGTAGAGACGATGCCAAGGGTCCCGTCACAACCGATCACTCGCACGTTTTAATTCCGTACGCACACGGTGGGAGGTTTGTGTTTTTTTCAATCCAAATCGGAAGTATCCAACGTTGGAATCTTACCCGAGGGCTTTATTCCATGTATATTAAATCCGCCCTTGGTATGTGCATTGCTGGGTTCCCTGGGACGGCTACGGATTGAGCAGCGATGAGAGACGTCTGTGTTGATCGCCCCATGTTGCTGATTTTCACCACGGGGAGTGTGACCCGCCTGAGTCCGCCTCCTCTGGAGGGCCTCTGCTAACTCCTTGCTCACAACCTCATTTTAATTTAACAGCAAACGACAGCCTAACCTTTAGCTAACAGATCCCCGGCAGCAAACGTGTATGTCAGAAGGAGAAAAAAAACATTTTAGAACAACAGTTTGAGGTATATTTATGTCAGCAAGCTGCCATTCTTCACGAAAAACTTCATGTTGTGAGCACTCATCATTTTTAGGGGTTTTCTGTCAGCGCTCCCCATTTGTGCTCCATTGCCTCTCTCCCACCTGCGTTCAATCGTATTCGCTCGCACGTCTCACGCCATCGCCAGACGCTCGGGTCCAAGGCTCGAGATTTCCTTGGCTGCTGGGTCCTCATTTATTAGGCTGTTAATACCGACTTTTGGGGGGTACAATTGAACTAAAATGTAATTGCTGACATAGCATGCAATTTAGACTTCATCGAGCACGTCCATCTGTAGAGAGATTTTAACATTGGCTCATTGCATTCCGCGTGATATCCTGCGAACATTATCTCGCCCATTGTAGGTGGTTGCAGTGTAAGAAAACTGCACTGTTTAATGCACCTCCGATTAGCGCGGTTGGCTACGTTTGGAGCGAAATAAGTTGGCTATACATACACGCGCTGCCAGCACAACATACGGGTGTTTACAATTGAACTGCTTGAGTAATTTGTTTAAGTGTCAAATGTTCGTTCTTGTGAATAGTATTTTTTTGTTTTGTTTTCGGCAGCTACATTTATTTGGTTTTCATTGTAACTTTCAGATCAGAGTTTTTTTTACGATAAAATATCTTCATGATTTTAAACATTTCCACGGTCACAACGCGGGCAAGCGACGGCTTATGCGCACGTCCTGAAGGTCGCCGTGGCTTGCGGCAGGGATAGCGATCAGATGCGAGGCTGCGGATGATTGACAGGTGTTGCGCCAAGATGAAGCCGTGAAATCTCAGCGTAATCTCAGCGTATGTCAAGCAGCTATCGAGCACGTCTGTTTTGAAGACGCATCTCAATTTGCTGTCAAAGTAATTCTCCAACTGCTCGTCGCTCGTCTACAGCCCTGAGTCGGTGGTGGAAACTCCACATTGCTATGGCGGGGAGGAGAATTATCCGTAGCACAACCACCGTGACTTTTCCGCCAAAGCGTTGCTCGTTTAATCGATCCTGGAGAGGAGATGTACCGAGTCAATCCCCCCCACACAACAGGATTTGAACTCGCAACCTTCAGGCAGGAAGGCATGTCTGCCCATGTGACAACCTGATTGGAGGGTTACGTTCAACATTATCCATCGTAAAGGTTTATTTTTTTCGTTTAGAACGCGTAAATATAATAGATGTGCCGTTCAACCGCCACCACCCGATACAGCCTATTAGTAAGGTGTGTCACGTAAACAGAACGTGCCAATTCGTTACTCGTTCACCACGCCGGTGCGTTGGAAAGTAAACCCAAAACATTTACAAGTAAAAAAGTGATGTACATTCTACCTACACGTTGATCTAATCGAATCGAAAATTATTATGAACAGAAATAGAGACCTTCGTTGCAGTTAGCGCTGTCTAGGCCACGTGGTATGTGTTTAACAATCATCTGGTATGTCTAGCGTGTGACAACTGTTTTCTTTTTAACGGAGAAGATCGATCGGTGGGTCGTTAGAACTGTAGGTTGAAAGTCTCTGCATGACATCGCTTTTCAGTAGCACATGCAGCAAGGCGAATATGCATGAGGATGAGTGATGACACGTTCTCTCACGCGTTATAACACATTTTACATCTTGACACCACTCCAAAGCACAGCAGGTGATGCAGAGCTTTCTCTGACTGTTGTATGAATGGTATACACTCAATAATATTGTGCTGAAGCTGCTGTTACTACTGCTGCTGGCGTTTTTGGAACTGCTGATGACGATGATGCATGATGATGATGATCAATGAATTAGCGACGATGATAGCAATGGTTATGAATGATCATCGTGATGGATTGATGATGATCCTGATGGCTTCATGAATAACGATCATCATGAATCGTTGGCTGATCGCGATTGAGAAAGGCTGAATGATGACGTTGATGAACTAGTAATGATGATGACGACGATGGGATGGAATCAAATTCAGAAAACAATTCGTAACCACAGCTCACTGCACCTGTCACCTGGCCCCGCGAACGCCCCACGCTCTTCACTCGAGCCCTCCCTTGTGCCGCACCAGGAAGCCTCTGCTGCTGCCCATCTCGAAGCAGGACAGCTTTGCAGAAAAGGACGCAATGTTCAAGGGCAGCGCCCTCTTCAAGCAAGCCTCGCTGGACGACGGCAACGGCGGCCACAGTCGCATATTCAACAAATACGAGCAGGTCGGTACCCGCCACCACGTGCCGCTCTCCACGAACTCACGGCGTCTCGCAGGCCAAACTGACGGCGGAAGATGCAGTGCAGATCGAATATCTTTGTAGGTTTGTTGACAACAGGCGAGGTCATTTGCACGAATGGAAACTTTAAAACGATCCAGCAGCGTGCGACTGTAGTCATCCACAACAGATTATTTGGTTATTTCGGTTAAGTCACGTCTAAAGATAAAATAATAAATTAAATTAAATATTTATTATTTTATCTTTAGACGTGACTTAACCGAAAGAACCAAATAATCATTTACTGCAGTCACGAAAGTTCTAAAATTAAAATCATCCACAACAGATCATACAACGCATCACGATGCAATGCCTGATCTTCAAATACGAAGAAGGAGACATCACGGCGGTACGCTCCGCTGCTACTCATGACGCAGTAATCTGGCTTGACCACCCGAAGGTGAAATTGTAGTTTTGCTTTGCATCTACATGAGCCATAGGAAAGAGAAGTAGCGATAACCTTCATCCAACAGTGAATGGATCACGGCTGCTGCTGCCGATGATGGTAATTACGATGTTGTTACGTCTATGCTAATGGGGCGAACACAGTTGTGCAAGCGACACAAAACATTAAAACTACACAAACGTGTTGGACAAAAAAAATACAACCAGAATATATTCTTGATTAAAATATTACCCTGAATCATGTTAATTCACAGAATCACTGGGGGAGTGAATCATTACATGCAGAACAATAATGATTATGATGAATGCACTAATGATGGCAATTTTGACATTAATGGCAATGACAATGCCGGTGATGATGTAAGGACATATGTTTAACTTATTTCGCACTGTACTTAGCCAACCGTGCTAATCGGAGGTGCGGGGGAAGGACAACAAACTAAACACAAAAGGCAGTTCTAGAGAAATGAGTTTTCAATCAAGATTTAAAAATCTTCACGTAGGTTCAATCCTCACTAGTGAGAGGAGTCTTGTAGAAAATATATCAAATATATTTAAGAGGCATTGTACGATGATGTATCTGCAATGAAGAGAACAATGCCCGCAGAATGTTAAAGTGACTCTGTGCTCTAATGAGCATCGAGGCATTGGTGCTCATCTGACGTTTACAGCTCTGCAGAGCCAGGAGTTGTACTGCCCAGAATGCATCTCTCCATTGATTCATCCCAACGTACACATTAGCCCAGGGTTGAATCTTTCACTGAATATCAAGTTCCAGAGGCCACATAACTCGGAGTCATAGGCATCTCCGCGAGAGGTACACTGGTCGTGCTTTGTTGTGTGTGGAAATATTATCCCGGACGCTGACCAGAATGGACCCAGCTGATATTGACTATCATAGTTTTTTTTTTCATCAAATTATTGTGGCGTATTACTTTGCGTCAGCAGTGTATGTAATGCACATATATCGTATCACACTGACTTCTGTACCAAGCAGAGATTTATGCGGGCTGGGTAATGCATATTTAATCTCAGTACATCATTGCGATCACAATAAAATGTATAGCGGATTAATTATATATGAGACCATTAGATCTGTGTGACAGGAGGAGGTGGAGGAATATCCAATGACACGTTCTTGAGAAGCATTTACCATCATTTGGGCAATTCACTAACGATGCAAAATCATGCTGTCTATTTCCATCAATTTACGTATTAGTTTCCTAAGCAAAGCATCGACGAAGCTATAGATTTACAATTGGTCCGTTAACTTCTCATCAATAAACAATTGTTAAAAATTATAATTCCATGATCTTACACCAGTACGATTTACAGTGAGACTTTACAAATTGTTTATATATCCACAGTAATAAATAATGACAAACATCCCCCGTATTGCCTTGACCAGACTATTGGAGCTAGTGCTTTTAGCGAGCACCTATTAAGGTCGACACAACACACATATATATCCTTTACATATCTGACCCTGCACGTTAAAAATCAACGTATTTCTTTTTTCATGCTTCTCATCAAATACAAGGACTTCCACGGATACATTATTTCAGCAGCATTGACTGGTTTCGGCATAAAAGTGTCTCATCAGCAGTCAGCCTTGCTTGAACCAATGTTCTTTAAGATATAGATCCTTCAAATATGATATGCTAAGTAGGCCTTTAACCGGGATTGGTTATTTGTTACTCTGCTGACAATTGAGAAGATTACATTACCAACAGTGTACTGCTGGGCCAAATAGAATATGAAGAAAATAAGAAATAGGATGGTGCTAAAACATTGTGAGAAATAGCTGATACAAGGTGAGATTGCGCATGCAATCATCCTTTTGGCACTATCTTTCATGGCCATGTAGCGGTAGCCGTATCACCAGATGAACATGGGTTATCTATTTGCATAAATTTATCTTATCGATTGTAATGCGTTTGTGAAGATTCAATATTCCTGGCTAATAAAGTAATTCCTTTACATCTGCACATTGCCGCTATCTCAGGCCGCCGTGTGTTAATGTGAGGCTGCATCCATCATCTTTCAGCCCAGGGTGTCACCTCTACGGCAGCGATAAGCGTTAGCTTGCGTGCTGACTCACAGCATGACCACATTTGCCATTGGCTGTGCGGCGGTGCGTTGAATATCTATCTGAGTTATTTCAAGAGGATGGCGGTAACGAATGGATTAAATGCTTTGTTTATAAAGCAGGTGAGAGCCCTTTCGGCTCAGTGCTGTTAAAGATGGTGTAATCCGTTACTAACTCTAGGGCACAAAGGCTACACGACAATAATTTGCCACAGCTAGTGATGCGCAGCCACGGAGGAAATAGGGATGTATTCCCACGCGCTTAGGTAAAGGGCGCCATGGTAGCGAGATGTTAACTACCTCGCCTGGTATGCAGGACTTCGTGTGTTCGATCCCGACCCTAACAATGCCTTGAAAAATGGGGTTTGGATGTTCTCTCCGCGTGGAATTTTCTCTGGGACCTTTGGATTTTCCCTCCACATTTAGAAACATGCATTTAGAGTTTTTGGCTACTATAAATGTCCACGCAATAAGCCACTGCATTGAGCTATCATTTGTGGCCAGGTCGCTTCTGAAATAGAGCAATACAGATCAGTGGGCTTTACCTGGTAAAATAAAAACAATTGTTTCGTTTAGAAAAGAGCAGGGATGAGCTACATCAGATGCTCGACTGCTCTTTTCCACTGGCACAACCGAGCCGTGCCAGGGACCGTCCCGAGCCGGCCCGGCATGGCTCACGAGGCACAAGCTTTGTTTTTCCACTGCATAAGCCGAACCGTGCCACCGACGTCGCACGCAGCGAATGAGGCGAGACGCGTGTAGTTGACGCAGTGATGTAATGTACATTATGACAGCTCTATTAGCTTTATTCTTTGGCTCTTTCCGTAAAGTCACGTATAAAGATAAAATAATAATAAAATAATAGCATACTACGACGTTTCGATTGCAACACAAGCAATCATCATCAGGTATAAAAGAAATAGCAACAAAAATCTAACCAGAATACTATAGACAGACATATAAGCAGACAGACATTATAAAGATACACAGAGAGAGAACACGTATCGGCACAAAGAGAGAGGTCGTCTCTGTGACGGGGCCTTAAATATAGAGAGGGGGCGGGGGCAGAGAGAGGGAGGGGGCAGAGAAAAAATTAGCATGTCAATGAGTGGAAAATTAGGAGAAAAACACACTAAAATTAAATAACCTAGTATAATATCGAAATGTACGTGACTTTACCGAAAGAACCAAAAAATAATTCCTGCAGTCACGAAAGCTCCAAAATTAAGCTCTATTAGCCCCACCCCCTGGCGCTGCTTGGCCCCATTCAGTGGCTCAGCAAACCACCGTTGACAAGGAGGTCCCCACATTTGTCTCGGCTCGGAAATGCCGGTGAAAGAGTGATGTGCAGGCGCATGACCTTTTTCAAGCGATGCTTACATTCGGCTGACCCTGCGCGGCTTTCTGCGTCCGCGTGGCACTGGCGAGCAGGTGAAGTTGATGCCCCCGGCGCCCAGCGACGACCTGGCCACACTGAGCGAGCTGACGGAGAGCAGCCTCCTCTACGAGATACAGAAGCGCTACAGCAACAACCAGATCTACGTGAGCACGGCGGCCACGGCGCGCACCATCGCAGCTCATTCTGTCCTGGGTGATTCCGTGGCTAACCCTTCCACAGAGATTACACCAATTATTTGGTGATGCTGATGGCTGCTTTGACAGTGGTACACAAAGTAAAATATAGTATACTAGCTGTACTACCCGGCTTCGCCCGGGACTTGTATCCACCACGCCCGGCCGCCTTTGTCTCCCCAGTGGCGATGTTAATACGCCACACCAGTTACTCGTTTTGCGGCTGAGTCCCTCCCTCACCACTCTCCCTCCCTTACCACTCTCCCTCCCTCAGCACTCTCCCTCCCTCACGACTCTCCCTCCCTCACCACTCACGCACGGCCGCCTTTGTCTCCCCAGTGGCGATGTTAATACGCCACACCAGTTACTCGTTTGAGGCTGAGTCGACCTAGGGGAGGTTCAAATAATCGTCACCGGTGGTGGCCGTGAGCGGGAATGGAACTCGGTTCGCCGGGTTTGTAGCGCAGCGTAGCGTTAACCACTACACCCACCGCTCCTCACACACCACACACGCACAGACACACACACAGACACACGCAGACACACACAGACAGACACACACACACAGACACACAGACAGCACGCTAACCACTACACTACCGCTCCCCACACACCACACACGCACACACACAGACACACACACAGACACACACACACAGACACACACACACAGACACAGACAGACACAGACAGCACGCTAAGCACTACACTACCGTTCCCCCTACACAACACACGCGCGCGCATCCATAGGTACACATACACGCGCTTGCTGCAGACACACACGACTTTCAGGGTGCGTACGGCAGTAAACGACTGAAAAAAGAAAGCGGCAATGCTGGGCGAGGAACGCCTTAGACCTGCAACACATTTGTGTAATGCGAGCGTAAACATACAAACACATACAAACACATACACACACATACATACACACACATACACACAAACACATACACACACATACATACACACAGACATACACATACACACAAACACACACATACATACACACAAAAACATAGACAATACACACACACATACATGCAGACACACAGACAGACACATAACACACATACATACACGCAGATACATACACAGAAACACAAATACACAATACATAGACACACACATACATACACACAAACACATCCACAGACATACATACAGACACGCAGACATACACATAAACACATACAAAAAAACGCACATACATACACACACACATACATACACACAAACACATACACACACATACATACACACATGCATACAGACACACAGACATACACATAAACACATACACACATACACATGACCCGGCCTCGCCCGGGACTTGGATCCACCACGCCCGGCCGCCTTTGTCTCCCCAGTGCCGATGTTAATACGCCACACCAGTTACTCGTTTGAGGCTGAGTCGACCTAGGGGAGGTTCAAATAATCTTGACCGGGGGTGGCCATGAGCAGGAATCGAACTCGGTTCGCCGGGTTGGTAGCGCAGCGTAGCGTTAACCACTACACCCACCGCTCCTCACACACGACACACGCACAGATACACACACAGACACACACACACAGACACACACACGCAGACACACACAGACAGACACAGACAGACACACACACACACAGACACACAGACAGCACGCTAAGCACTACACTACCGCTCCCCACACACCACACACGCACACTCACAGACACACACACAGACACACACACAGACACACACACACAGACACACACACACAGACACAGGCAGCACGCTAAGCACTACACTACCGTTCCCCCTACACAACACACGCGCGCGCGTCCATAGGTACACATACACGCGCTTGCTGCAGACACACACGACTTTCAGGGTGCATACGGCAGTAAACGACTGAAATAATAAAGCGGCAATGCTGTGTAAGGAACGCCTTAGACCCGCATTATACATTTGTGTAATGCGAGCGTAAACACACAAACACACACAAACACATACACAATGCACACACACATACATGCAGACACACAGACAGACACATAACACACATACATACACATACAAACACAGAAACACATACACACACATACATAGACACACACATACATACACACAAACACATCCACAGACGTACATACACACATACATACAGGCACGCAGACATACACATAAACACATACAAAAAAACCCACATACATACACACACACATACATACACACAAACACATGCACACACATACATACACACATGCATACAGACACACAGACATACACATAAACACATACACATGACCCGGCTTCGCCCGGGACTTGGATCCACCACGGCGGCAAAACCGACATACATACACACACAGACATACACAAAAACACATACACACACATACATACACACATGCATACAGACACACAGACATACACATAAACACATACACATGGCCCGGCTTCGCCCGGGACTTGGATCTACCACGCCCGGCCGCCTTTGTCTCCCAAGTGCCGATGTTAATACGCCACACCAGTTACTCGTTTGAGGCTGAGTGGACCTAGGGGAGGTTCAAATAATCGTCACCGGTGGTGGCCGTGAGCGGGAATGGAACTGGGTTCGCCGGGTTGGTAGCGCAGCGTAGCGTTAAGCACTACACCCACCGCTCCTCACACACCACACACGCACAGACACACACACAGACACACGCAGACACACACAGACAGACACAGACAGACACACACACACACAGACACACAGACAGCACGCTAAGCACTCCACTACCGCTCCCCACACACCACACACGCACACACACAGACACACACACAGACACATGCAGACAGACACAGACAGACACACACACACAGACACAGACAGCACGCTAAGCACTACACTACCGTTCCCCCTACACAACACACGCGCGCGCGTCCATAGGTACACATACACGCGCTTGCTGCAGACACACACGACTTTCAGGGTGCGTAAGGCAGTAAACGACTGAAATAATAAAGCGGCAATGCTGTGCGAGGAACGCCTTAGACCAGCAACACATTTGTGTAATGCGAGCGTAAACACACAAACACATACAAACACATACACACACATACATACACACACATACACACAAACACATACACACAGACATACACATACACACAAACACACACATACATGCACACAAACACATACACAATACACACACACATACATGCAGACACAGACAGACACATAACACACATACATACACACACATACACACACATACATAGACACACACATACATACACACACACATACATACACACAAACACATGCACACACGTACATACACACATACATAGAGACACGCAGACATACACATAAAGACATTAAAAAAACCCACATACATACACACACATACACACAAACACATACATACACATACATACACACATACATAGAGACACACAGACATACACATAAACACAAACACACATACACATGACCCGGCTTCGCCCGGGACTTGGATCCACGATGCCCCGCCGCCTTTGTCTCCCCAGTGACGATGTTCACACACGACAGCAGTTACGCTTTTGAGGCTGAGTGGACCTAGGGGAGGGCCAGGTCCGTTTCAAATAATCGTCAGCGGTGGTGGGCGTGAGTTGGAATCGAACTGGGGTCGCTCAAGCAGCTTAATGACTGTTTGTACAAAGAACATATAAAGAATCGATTATAATAACCAGGCAAGAGTCCACATTATAGACTGCCAGTACACGCACTCAGCTTCATAAGCAGGCTAGAGTGTACATGATAGAGTGGCAGTACGCTCACCGAGCTTAATAAGCAGGCTACAGTGTACATGATAGACTGGCAGTACGCTCACCCAGCTTAATGAGTATTTGTACAGTGAACATTAAAGTAATCGATTGTTGGCGCGTTGGGTTTAAAAGTAATATTAATAGCACACATTGTGGTGGGGGTGTAGTGAAGAGTAGGAAAAACTTTGATGAATTTACCTCAGAGTGGCGTGGTGGGTGTCGAGGCCTAGTAGCGTGCAAAGCCTGCGGCCTCGCCTAAAATTGTCGGCTTGGAAGAGGCAGGGTACGGGTGGCGTTCCTTCCCCCCCCCCCTAGCGCTCCAACAATACTGTGTAATGGCTATTATTTAATTAAATACGGAGCTTATGAAAGTGGCGAAGGCGTGGCTAGCCGTTGGCAGGGGCAACCGCCGTCCAATGAAACTGCAGCCCTTGGCGAAGGCGTGGCTAGCCGTTGCCAGGTCCAATGAAAGCGGCGAAGGCGTGGCTAGCCGTTGCCAGGGGCAACCGCCGTCCAATGAAAGTGCGTATGGGCCAAAGTCCACACAACAACAACAACAACAACCGCCATTCGCCACTAAGTGGCGGTGACGTCACCACGATGCTTGTGCCAGGCCAAGTGCACCTTGAGGCCACGTGAAGTGTCGAAAGCCCGCTGGCAGGAGGTCACGGGGCAGACCCAGGTGCCACTGGTCGACTGACCGAGATGACCGAGATGACTGGCTGATGCACCACCTGTGCCCCCTACTGTGCCAACTTGCTGTGCTTTAGCCACCCGGCGCTCCGCTCGTTGTTGTGAGCGTCGCTCCTCCGCCCTCCGTTGTTGTTGGAGGGCGACTGCCTCCAACTGCCCAGTAGCGTCCTTCACGAGCCTCCTCCACTGAGGCCGATCTTGACACCGCTGGTACCAGTCATCGGCAAGTCCACTCAGCTCCACGTCCTCCTGTACCACATCACTCCATCTCTTCTCCAGCCCGTGCCGCGCCCGTCTAGCCCCCTCGATCCGGCCGAACAAAAGCTGTTTAGGCATGCGGTGGCTGGGCATGCGGGCTACATGACCCAGCCAACGCAGCCTTGCCTGCCGGAGGAGCTCACTGATGGGACCTTGCCCAGATCTTTCAAGGATTTGTGAGCTCCTCACACAATCCAGCCTGGTTAAACCCAGAATGGATCGTAGGCAGGCCAGCCTAAATGTTTCCAACCAGCGAAGATGCTCC